AAAGAACAGCGACTGCTCCCCAAGTCTCTGAGGCAGCCGCATCCCCCCATGGCTTTTGAAGAGACTTCCCCCACTCACTAGTACAAGCCCACCTGTGGGAAATTCCTTTCCAAGGTAAACCGTGCTGTCGAAGTAGAAAAGCCCTTCGTGTGTCATCAGAGAAGTGGGTGGCAGCACTGGATTTTACCAGCCACATATAGCATACAAACCAAACCTCTCCCAGGTGAGGCTGTGGATACGGTGCGGGCTCCCCAGTAGGAGTGCTGGGAGAAGAGCTGGCCACATTCCTGGGCACTCAGGTCTGAGATCCTGCCCAAAGCAGCAGCACACAACAAAGCTCTACAAAAAAATGCATTTCTGGTGCTGCTCAGCAATAACAAGTTCTCCTCCCTGTTGTACAAGGATGGGTACTCTCTGGAAGAAGCCACCAGCAAAGCAAGCCTAGCAGTTAGCATTTCATAGGAAATTAACGAGGTTAAATGTGCTGGGGACAAAGAATACAGTGTCTAATCCTGAAGACCGGCTGCCAAAAGAGATGAATAGTGACAGATCAGAAGCTGAGAGCTATTTCTCCCTGTTTTCTTCCCCTGTGCCACTCCCTCAGAAGGAAAAAATAAAAATAAAAAATTATCTGTGCTCTACTTGATTTGAACGAAAAAGTAAATCCTATATTATATGCACTGCAGCAGATATTTTAAAGCTGGCATTTTTGAGATGCGACATCATCATAAAGGTGGATTACATATGTCCAAAGGAATCAGATTTCTTCAGCTCCCAAAGACAGAGTTTAAAAGGTTCCTACACCCCAGCTCCTGACCTATCTTCCTCCAAAAAAAAAAAAGCCTCTACCCAATCTACAACTTCCAGCCAAATTCCCTCATTATCTGCAACTCAGGAAGTGCAGATGTTATCAATTCATAAGGGAAAAAAGGAAACCTGATTAATGCTCCTCTAACCAGTATTGCTGGGAAACATGAGCAAAGATTTTCACCCAAATATCTGTATAGAACTCCACCGAAGGATAAAAGAAGCCCATCATCTTTACACACCTGTAAGCAGATATATACAGCTTCATCCATATACCCAGAACTTCCTCACATTTTCAGTGCACCTTACCATAAACAACTACTTCACCTTACCTCCCAGGCATAGAAAAAAAATCCATCATGCTTTCCATCTTAATTTTTCAGTGAAAAATTACAAAAATAAAAAGCTAAAGCAATCTGATGATAGTGAGCTATCACAGAGATGCAACTGCAAAAACTATGAAAGTAATGGTGGATTTTATAACACCTTAGATCACACTAATTTTAGACTGCTCTATGGAGAGATGAAAGAGGAAAATGCATTGGAAACCACAGCAGACAAAGTTGTGCTGATTTCTGAGGAATCATACAATGGAAAAACATGACCAGAATACAGTCTATTCAAGCTTGGGTGGAGTAATACATCATGGTGATGACAAAAAAAGCAAAAATAAAAATAAAGAAGACATTTCAAAGTCATTCTGTCAAAATGTAAGTATTGTCTAGTTCTAGGTCAAGAGACCTTTAGCCTGGAAAGTATAAAGGTAGCTCCAGATTAAACCCCATGGTTCACCTCCAGCCTGCCTGCTTCAGAGGTAAAAAGCTTGGTCCCATTTCTGGACTTTTGGTGGAAAAATGTGCACAAATACCCCAGTTACAGCTTAACAAGTCTTGAACATTAAGCTCCTCTAAACTGCGTATAAATGAGAGCATCTAAAAAAGACACACACACACAAAAAAAAAAAAAAGCAAAGATGTTCTGCTGATCAAAGCAAGTTACTAATAACAACAAATTTAGAGAAACTCTCTTCTGAACACATAAGAGAAGAAGGGGTTTTAAAATGCCCATTACCAAACGGCCATTTTCATTCCTTCACTACCTGACCTTAAGCCCAGAGGTCTGCAACATTCAGTAAGTCTGCACAAACATACTTTATAAGACCCCTATTCAAGCGAGAGCTTTGTGCGTGTTCTGCATGGTCAGGTTTTAAAAAACAAAACAGCAACAGCATGCTGACCAGAGAGTTACATGTATTTCTGTAGGAAAAGTAAGCCAAGAATACTTGTGAAGGCAGAACTACCTCTTTAACACTTTTTAATAAGTTGAAACCTGTTTCACAGATCTCTGTGGCTCCCTGACAGATGTGATGCCACTGCTGTTGCCTCTCTGCAACTGCCAGCTACCTCTACCAGGAACTGTATTGGTTTCACAGCTGCCACGAAGAACACGCAATGCTGCCACGAAGCAGGTCTTGCTCCTTCCCCCCAGTACTCCTGGGGAATGGTTTCAAGAAGCACTTGGGACCAGGAGAGGAGCACAGCAGCTGGGCCACAGTGCGGTTCAGGGTGTTCCAGGAAAGCAACCCATTCCTCCCATCAGCCACAATATGGGGAGGGGGGGGAAACACAAACAAAAACCCAAGCACACAGAACCTCCACAGCTGGCTGTCATCACAGTAACCCCCCACCTCCTACAAATCTAAATACCTGCCCTTGAAATGTCAGTAGGGTCTGGCTTACCACAGTCCTCCGAGGTGCTTCTGTATCTGGCTAGTAACAGCCCAGTACTTCAAGCCTGTACTAGTTCACAGGGTGCTGTACTTCCATGCCACCAATTTTATTCCTTTCCAGCTTGGTAAACCAGCCTACCATAGTTTCCTTACACTAATAATCATGGCTCAGTTGTAAACCTCTGTCCATTTGTGTTTTGTTGGTGGTTTTGTTTGTTGCATTAAGCCAGTGAGAACAGGGAGGCGAGTTCTCTAAGCAGAGAGGATGCTGTAGTCCACCCGTGTACCAGTTTCTGGGTTTCAGTCTCCAACACTGTTGGCTTGGCACCCCTCACAGCACTGAATTCGCAAACCAAACAGCAGACTTCATAACTACCTCTACTTCCATGTATAAATGTATTCATACTGATACTGGCACTGCCTCTGTCTCATTAAGGAACTGCTGACACCTCTTATGAACTCAACACATCTCGTTCGAAACAATTCCACCTGCACAGATTGTTTACTAGGGAGAATGTACGCATTAAAATTTGATTTGTTTGTTTCTTCAGAGTTCATCTGTTCCTCTTGTTTATATCTACATAAAGTAACAATCAGGGAAATTACTATCATGCCACAAATAGAAGATTATGACTCCAGGGAGGCAATCAAACAACAGGAGCACATGAACACAGAAGAAAAAGAAGTGCTGTTTGGATACAAGTGTCCTTGGCAATAGACAAAGGTGAGAGAAGAGAAGAGATAACAGCCTAAATAGTTTATAAACTGAATGTTTCCTCAAAGTTTCTTATTAAGCATCATCAGGTATGCAAAAAAACTTTGGTAGGACATGTCACTATCTTGAGATTAATTTGAAGAAGTGACTGTGACCATGCTGATACTGTGTGACAGTACGCATCCCAATGATTTCTGTGTTGTCATTTGGACTGGGTTAAATGGCAAGTGAGAGCCAAATGAATGGTTTATTAGGACCAGGTATGATCGTGACATAATAAAATGAACTAATCGGGAAACAATTCCTCTCCATGCTCTGGATCCAACTTTACTTTTGAAAATTGAGGTTTCGCTGCCACAATAGGAATACAAAATGTGACGTAGTCCATTTAAATAAGTATACTTGTATCTTTGCAAACAGGATATAATATGGCAAACAGATGCATAGAAAAAAAAAAAGGGGGGGGTGGGCTATGGAGGAGTGGAAAATTTTTGTTTTGCAGAGTGCCGAGCGACTGGCTACTGAGCAGTGCCTTCAGCCTCAGTCACCTTTACTCTGGCGTTCATTGAAACCCATGGATGTCAATGACAGACTAATTTTCGACATTAAAGTGCGGTTGATTAACTAGCAGCAATTAACCTCTTCCCTCACCTAGGGAAAAACACCAGGGCAAGAGGATAGATGCAGCCACCACAGGTGACTTCTCCCCAGCCAGAGCCAGCACGGACCCTGCCGCTGAGTTCAGCGCGTTCTCCGAGGGCGCCTCGGCTGCCTCACCACGAAATCCCCCAGACCAAGAGCCGTGGAGGGGGCGGCGGAACACCGGCGGTCCGGGGTGCCCCCAGTGACACCCCCGGAGCTGCTCGGGGGCCCTGCGCAGCCCCGCGCGCGTTGATCGCGACCCAGCAAACTTCTCCGGGGTCCCGGCAGCGACAGCAGGAAAAGCATTGCTCCTGCGGCCGGCGCGGCGATGCCGGCGTGACATCCGCGGTTTTGTTTTTATTTTTATTTTCTTTGCTTTGGTTTTAAGTCAGAGGACACAACAATGCCGGGAGAGGTGCGGAGCACTGCCCCCGCAGCGGGCCCCGCCAGGCCGCTCCCCTCCCGCACGGGCAAACATGGCCCCTCGCAGCACAGCCGTCAACTTTTCCCCTGCCTCCTCCTCCTCCTCCTCCCGCCTCCCCGCTCACCTCTCATCAGGGAACAAAAACTGCAGGCGAGCAGGCTGCGCAGGACGGCCCCCATCTTCCCTCGCTCCGCGCTCTCACCGGCGGGGCGGCGGCGAGGAGCAGCAGCCCCGCTGCCCGTTCATGCTTCCCGGCCGGCGGGGAGAGGAGGAGGAGGAGGAGGAGGAGGAGGAAGGCCGGGGCAGCGAGGCACCCCCTAGCAGGCCGCTCGCCCCGCCGCTCCGCCGTTCCCCCCCATGCCGGCCGCCGCCTGGCCGTGGCCGTTCGCCATCCACCCCCCGAGCCCGAGCCCGAGCGCTCCCCGCGGCTCCTCCGGGCGCGCACAGGCGCAGGGATACAGCAGCCGCCGCCGCCTCCTCCTCCTCCTCCTTCTCCTCCTCCTCTTCCTCCTCCCCCGGCCGCCGCGCCCCGCTCCCCGAGCAGCGCCCGCCTCCCCGGGCACGGAGGGAGGGACGGCTGGAAGGAGGGACGGACGGAAGGAGGGACAGAAGGAGGGACGGACGGACGGACGGATGGATGGATGGATGCAGGGAGGGAGGGAGGGGGGGATGCCAGCACCGCCCCTTGCCCGCTCGCTCCCCCCATGCGCACGCACACGGCCGCGGCGGGCCCCTCCGTGCCCGCTGGGGGCAGAAGGGGTCGTCCCAAATTCCTGCGGGGCCACTGCACCGCCTGGGGCTCTCCCCCGCTCTCTCTCCCTCCACGCCGCTTTTGGGGAGCAAGGCGGCTGGGAGAGACGCCGGCCCGGCAGGGACGGGACTACTTTCGGGCACGGAGCGGCGGCACAAAGACGGCAGCTCCTGCTCCTCCTTCTCCTCTTCCTCCTCCTCCTCCTCCTCCAGGTGAAGGCCGCCCCTCTGCTGCTGCTCCCTCCCGCACACCCGGTTCTCAGCGAAACGAGCAGCGAGCGCACCGCGACCCACGGGCCGTGGCCACACAGCCCCGCCTGCCAAAAGGCGTCCCTCGCCTGCCTTGTGCGCCACGGGAAACAATCGCGGCTCCCTCGAGTTTCCTCCCGCTTTTTTTCCTCCCCTAATCCGTTTTCCTGAACCTGCTTCAGGGGTTTTCCAGGGAAACACAGTGTCCTCCGGTTTTCCAGACCTGCTTCAGGGAGATTTCTCCAAGGAAAACCCACTTTCTCCAAGGAAAACCCAAGTCTGAATGCTCACGGCTCCCTGCCAGACTGTTAGAGCCCTTTGCTGGGGTGATGCTGTGGGGGTAGAGTGACTCAAAGCAAAATTTGAGGTCCTTGCCTCCTGAAGTCTGTACTGTTCTCAAGGTTATTAGAAACTTATGGAAATGTTTCACTTTTAATTTTGTATCTGTTGAACATGTATTTTCATAGCTTTTCTTGTGATTACAGTAGGAGATAACATCTGGGCCAGATTAAAGGCCCAGGCGTCGTAGACTGAGTCTAACATCAGGCTCCTGCAGTCATGTGATAATATCAGACTCTCAGCTTTTACTGGGGGGAGAAAAAAAAAAGTTTTTATATAAAGAAATATATATCCAACCTTCAAGGTTGTTTACGTTTATTTATTTATTTTTTAAACAACTCAAAAGCAATTCCTGCCTAGGGGCTGGTCTGCATTACAAAATGTTGTCCTTGACCCTCTCCCGGATGAAATAACCTCTGCCATGTCAGCCGGGGAGATGAGCAAGCTCAAGCAAGATCCATATGAGGGAAAGGGCTTCCCATGCACAAATGTACCAGAAAGTAGATAAACCTCATCTTCCCCATGTCATCACAACCAGGTTTGCAGGGACAGACAGAAGGAGCACAACATTCAATTTATTTCACTGATTGGAATCAGAGAGAAATAAAAAGAGGATTTTTTTTTCCTTATGCTACGTGCTCATAACTGTATGATTGATGATTAACTGCTTCTGGATAATTGCACATCTATAATGAATTCTTTGTATCTTAATAATGTAATGCATAGCTGAGGAAAACCTCAAGCCTGAACCCCTGAATCACACAACACATTTCTCTACATGCTGTTCCCCCTAGCATCTTATCTTTTTTTGGCTGGAAACACGTTGATGTCTCGACTGTCTCCCTTGGGAGCCTGATCCCCTGCCTATTTGCTCTCACATCTTCCCTGCAGCCCAAGCTGGCTGGTTTTATTTTAAGCTTTCAGACATTATATGCTGTCACCCCTCATGCTGGTGCATTTCACCATTTTCCTATAATTCAAGCCCTTTCCTTTCCTGATAGGATTTCCTCTAAGTCATTTAATGATTAGAAGCTTCACTTGCCTCTGCCTATTCCCTTTTCTTTACACCCTTCCTAGAGACAGTCCTCATCTCTCTACTCAAGCCTAGGTAGCTTTTTTCAAACCCATTTTCTATTCAATGCTTTGGATTCAAGACTAAACCTCTGTTCTAACTGTTTGTTGGCTTTGCTTCTAGTTCATACACACAGATTTAACTCAGTTGTAGCAATTTTTACAAAGTAAAAGAGGAGGCAAGAATACCTCACAGAGAAAAGCCGCTGATAGAGGGGATTTTTCTGAAATGATTATGTTGCTTATTTGAGTTTAAAGTCAGAATGAAGTAAATGAGAGTAGAGAGGGAATGTTTCTTCTGCTGGAGCTCATCTTGTTGGGTATGAGCATTTTTATTAACCTTATGAACAGAAATCTTCATTTGCTGGTTTGAATCCCATCAAAGGCTTCCATTGTCCAGAAGGCTACACAGCCTTCCCCCCAGACTTGGATGGTGATTCAATGATACAAGAGCTTTCGCATGAATTTCTTTATGCTCAGATTATTTCCCTGTTTTGGTTCCTAACGCAGCCTCACCAGCAGTTCTGCCAGTCACGGAGGACAGCAAAGAGAGGCAGCTGGGGCTCCTGGAACCAGTAGCAACAGCCGAGGTCTCTGCATCTTTGAACAGTGCCCTGGGTTCCAGGGAAGTCAGAGGGATCCTTTGTAGGACTGGGGCTAAAGTCCCTAATGAGCAAAAGCTGCTAGGAGAAGATGGCTGCTCGGCAAATGAATTTGTGGCTGCCCACATCACAGAAACCTCTATCATAATTAGCTCTCTCACTGAATGTCTCAACAAGAATGAATGGGCATGGCGTGGTGAAATCCTGGTCCCTCTGAAGTCAATGGCAAAACCCTCACCGACTTCAAAAGGGCACAGATTCATGCTGAAACTCTAGCTCAAGTCCTCTCTTGCCCCCAGCAGGAAAGACTGCAGCAAAGTAGCTTAGGAAATGGGACATGATGTAGTGATGACTTTGCCAGTGTTGTCTGCTAAAACCATTTTGCAGATATAATAAGACACCCTGACTCCCAGGATCATCGCCTTGCCATTTCACTTAGGTCATACAGTTGATATTCATAAACAAAAGTACTTCATCCAACTCTTTCCCAACACACGATCAGCTCTAAGAAATATGATAGATATGCCTGATAAGGTTTGTCCTGTTCCAAGAGCAATGGGTTCTCCATAGTGTTACTCTTTTGATGAATAGAATACCTGATCATCATCTATCCCTTCTTAAAGTTCAGTAATAAGCCAAAATACCTTTTCCCCCACTTTCGCTCCCATACCATATTAACTGCATCTTTTCAACAGGACTTGGGCAACTTATGAGCAGATTTCTGTGGATTGATAACCATTTCTCTATTCTGGAAATTTTCTCCAGGCTGGGAGACCTCATTTATCTTCACAGCTACTGGCTGCAGGGTTCCCCACAGTCTGACAAAAAAGAAAAAATAGCACTGTTGCTACTTCTGTGGCAATTTTCCCCTCAAACATCTAATCAAGTCCCTTTTTTTATCATATCACAGAATTAGATTTCCTCTTCTCCTTGCTCTTCAGTACTACATATTTTTTCCCCATTATGTGTAACACCCATTCTTTCTTTCCCATCTCCTCTTCCAGAAGATGTTGCCTGGTGCCCTGGATGAGAACTGCATTTCTTTGTGGCTGAAAACAGCCTTACAACAAAACTTCACAGAGGAGAAGGTGCTTGACTTCAGCTGAGCATACAGGTAAGCTTCCATTGGGAAGCCAGTGATAACCCCAAGGGGGAATATGAAATAGATGACTCCAAAGGCTTGGACATTTTCTTTACACCTTTCGAGGAGTGCTTGGGCTCCTGCTGATGGTGCATCCAAGGTCAGGCTGTTCACCTACTACCTCTTTTCTCCTGTTACATCTCCCAGGGGGTTGAAAACAGCACAGCCTCAGGATACGCTCCTTCAGCTATAGTGTTTTCAGTGTGAACCACATAGGATTCTGATTTCAATTTGGCACTGCCCACCAGACCACAGGGCAAGTCCAATACTTTCCTTATGAATATTTAGCCATGGCTACATTTCAAAGCCAAATTATAAAAAAATGTCATTTGAGAAAGTTATAGTTCTAAAATTTGTAAAGTACTGTAATGCTAGGTTGATACAGCTAAAACATCCTTTTAAAAGAGATTGCATTTCAGGCTGACAGACACCAAAACACTATTTCATTTTAGTTTGCTAAGATTTTCAAAAACAGTCAGCATCTGGGCTCTATTAACCATAATGTGCGTGCATTTTAAGCAACAGCAATTTAAGAATACTTCCTTTTCAGAACCCTTTCATGGAGCTCAGCATTTTGCAATACACATCCACAATATTTACCAATTATGCTTTGCACTGTAGCCTTTGAAGTCTAAAAATTAGTTACTGGTAAAGGACTGTACATTTATTCACACTATTTCAGTCACAGGGATTAATGACTAGAATTTATGCCTATGGTCAAGAAAGGTAAGTCACTGTGTCACAGTAATTAGCAATCATTCATGCAGCACTTCAATCTTTGTGCAATATACATTGTGACACACCATTAGTGTGTAGGAAAGAGCTCATTTGCAATATACTGAAATATTTGAAATAACCACTTCTGGGCTAAAGTGCAGTACTAGAGAAGTGCATGGGAAAGCTGCAGTTTATGACAGGGAAAGAGAATCATCCCTCTCCAAATCAAACTCTGGGGAGAATATTTATAAGTATATATTATATTTATATCTGTATCTTTATTTTATATATTTATATTTACCTAGTCTGCAATTCAGCCAAGACACTAAGCACTTCAAGAAAAAGGCTATATGTCGTCAACCATGATACCACTTCAGAGGTTTTGTTTTTATTAGCTGTTAGACAAGTCCTCAAGATAGGCTAGACAATCAGGACGAGTTACTCGCACGCTTCCTCAGAGTAGAAAAGAGTGCCCTCTAATGGTTAACGTTTAATATCTACGATGTTATTGTTTAAGCGATTTGTAAGGTAAGATCACAAAAATGAGAGATGTTGTAGCAGTTTGCTATTTCAATGAAAACCAAGATTATTTTTTTTTCTTCCTGGTTCCATTTCTACACTCCCTGATAGAGTCCCTCTCCAGCTTTCTTTAAGGCCACTTTTATGGGTTAGATTAGGTGGCAAAACTGCAGGACCTAGCAAATTGCAGCCTTATCTACCTTGTTCCACATGACATTTTCCATCTCAGGATCTAGCCTCTCATCAGGGTAACACAGAATCATAGCATCATTAAGGCTGAAAAAGACCTTCAAGATCATCTGGTCCAACCATCCCCCTACCATCAATGTCACCCACTAAACCATGTCCCTAAGCACCATGTCCAACCTTTCCTTGAACACACCCAGGGACGGTGTCTACCATGATCCCCAATACCTTTTCTACAAACATCACTTCCCGCCATCTGGCTTCTAGCATCTACTAGTACATGAGATTTTCTTCTCTCCAGGTACAGGTCTCAGTATTCCATGTCCACGTCTCAGCATTTGCTTTTGTTGAAATGCATGATGTTCCTGTCAGCTCATTTCTCCAGTCTGCCATACTGAGATTATTTAATTTCCATAATGATTAAAATTTATTATTGCTGAAGAGTCACTGCAAAACACATGAATTGCTTAACATGTGAGTGAAAAAGTTCATACAGATGATCCATTGTTCACAATCCTTGCAATTTGGAGGAGATTTCTTCAGGCAAGGTCAAGTCCTGCAGATCCCATGCCCACTAGTGGCTGAAGAAAAACCTATGTAATCTTAAAATGCATCTTTCAGTTTAGATTCATCATAAACTAGAAGGACAAAATCTTTACCTTTTCTTCCTTCCTTTCTTTTTCTGTCTTTCTCTTTTTTCTTTCATTTTCTGTCTCCTTTTCCCTTCCCTTCCCTTCCCTTCCCTTCCCTTCCCTTCCCTTCCCTTCCCTTCCCTTCCCTTCCCTTCCCTTCCCTTCCCTTCCCTTCCCGAAATTGACAAATCACAATGCTGATAACAGTTTTTATTAGTCCTTGTTCACTTCATTTCAGCTGGTGAAATACCAAGATAATTGACAGTGGTTGATTCTATAGTCTGTCCCTTTTAAACAGGCCTTGCCTCTTCACTCAGTGAATATCTAAATATATCTTAATATACTTAGTGAATTTCTGGTTTAATAAAATCATATTGATCTTTGAATCAGAGCTATAGGACTTGGAGGGAATGGCCAAATTATCTCCTCTGCCTCCACTATCAACAGGCAACAGCAATGTAAACACCTAAGCCTCTACAAAAAATATTTGAAATACAGGCACAGGATAGCAGAAAGCTCCACACACGATACCCCTTGGCACTGGCTAAAATGTCTGCCACTGATTTCATTGTCTGCTAGAGAAGGAATTCATATGGATTCTTAAACTTCCACTGTTTCTTTATATAAAGATTTCTGTGGTTTATGACCTGTAACTCATTCTTCATGTGATGAGGGATGGAAGATGTGATTATGTATGGCTGAAGTCTCGTTTGCTGCTTGTCCATCTCCATTAGTTCTTTGAATAATTTCCTTACAGCGTGGACTTTGATAAAGACTCTACCAGTATGCCTGGCAATTAAATGTAGATAAGTGAGAAAGGAAAACACAGAGAAAGACCTCCCCACACACACATATACACCCAATATATTTATTAAAAGAGTTGTGCCTGCTATAAAGCTATTATTAAAGAATCATCATATTCAGTACTGGATTAAATAGATCCTATTTTCTCCTTTGAGGGGAAAAAAAAAAAAGTGAAGCTATCCAATCAATTTCTCTTTTTTCCCTATTTCCCCACCTCTCCAACCAAGCCCACAAAGATAGTAGTTGGTCACATGGATCTTCAAATAAAAGACAGAGAATTGTGTTTGAATAGCCTTGACTCATAAAGCTCTTCCCAATGCCTTTTTCAGTGCCAGAGCTTTGCAGTTAATGCAACTTCTGCTAATTTTTTTCCTTACTACAATTGTGAAAAATCTAATACCTTTAGAATGATTTGAAAAGAGCTTACACAGAACAAATTCCCTATTTAATCTTAGCATATTAAGAAATCTTTTCTTTGAACAATACGTGTAAAATGCTATTTTCACCCAAACACTTTTCTTTTAAATAAAAAAAGCTCTACGAGTTGAAAGAGCTGCCAGTTTAGAGCCCTGTCTTCATTTGTGGTTTAGGAATCTTGGCACTTTAGGTGGGGGAAACATCAGTGAGGATATGTGCTTCCCATGGTACACTGTGGCAGTAAATTTCAAAACTAACATATCAAAGGTATCCTCCTGGTCACCATGTTAAAAACAAAAACAAAGAAACAAAATGAAAAAATGGGAGCCAAAGACCCAAATCACTTAAGGATAGGCCAAATAAAAAATGTGTGTAGAACATTTATTTAGTCGTTGTTCTCTCTCCATCTACCACCCCGCAGTTCTGCACATACTATAGCTTTTATGAAACAAGGTTTGGGTAATCTGCACTTGTTCTCTATTTACTCTGCTGAATGATCACAGTGTATAAGCAGAAGAGCTCTAGCTTTTGGCCTCGTTTGTTGCCCCAGCAGCCTTCCCAGTTTCTACACAGGAATTTTTCAGTACTCTACTATGCATCTGTCAGTTCTTTTTACTATTCTTTCTGATAGCTATGTGTGATGGCTTATACTTACATGAACACAAAACATTTGAGACTCCTGCCAACAACATAGCTGGAACACTTGTCATAGCTCTTTAAGACAAACAAAGAACAAAATCTGCTTTTTTCTGAGATTCTAGTTTTTTATTTCGGTAGATTCAGAAGGACTGCTTCACGAGTAAAAAGCACTCAACACTGCAGTGCTGGCTCCTTAACATATGTATCACCTATTAATTATTTTGTTATATAGATGCTACTTCAAACAATTATTTCAAAGCAAACCTCTGCAAATACAATGTCAAATTCCTGTGTTGTTTTTTTGTTTTGTTTTGTTTTGTTTTTCTCTGAGTGAAACTTCTACTCTTGAATGACATTAGCTCAACAATGGAACAGCTGTACAGAAAAAGAGGGTAAAAGTCACTGCTGTTGGTAATAGGGTAAAAACTTGAGTTGAGCTGAGTTAGAGATTTAAGCAAGACTTATTAAATTCTAGGTCAAACACCAAATGAGAAATATGCAAAGTCATTCCTGGAGTGAGCTATCTAGTTTCACCAGGCCTCTTAAGAGGCCTGTAGCCAAGGTAGTTGCTAATTGGGATTTAATCAACATTCAATCAGGTGAAAATAAAATAAAGGAAGAAAATGAAATCAGGGAGAGTTACAAAGCTATAAATTTTACCCCAAACCAGACCTCATCTTTTAATTCACCTTTCAAGCCCATGTTTCTCCTACAGTCACAGCTGTACCACAGGTGTCAGCACAAGTACAAGAACCAGGGTCTCGCTTGGGGACAATTACCACTTGCCAGCTGATGCACGGTAACCTGATGTTGTGCAAGGTCATGGACCCCAGCTGCCACATCTACCCACTTCAATTCAGTCTGGATTGCTGCCCAGGATAACCTTCTTCTATGCTTCAAAATACCTGATGTTCTGCAGGGTCAGGAGACTTTCCAGACATAAGGAACTAAGCTGCAATTGAACTGCCTGTAGCATGCAGCATTTTTGTGATTGCTTTTCATGTCATTGTTAGTGTATGCAGACTAAGTTCCTGGAAATCACTTTAGTTACCACTTAATGAGGTAGCCATTGGAGAATTCAGCTGTCACCAGTGATACCCATTTTTGGCAACTGAAAAGACGTGGCATACTGATAAACCCACCCCTGAGATGGCATCTCCAGCAGATATCTGGAAAAGCTTATATGCTCCCAAATATAACATATGGATAGACTTCAGTGTTCAGACTTGTCACTTTTCAGAATATACCAGCCTTCACAACATTCACTTAAATGGCATAAACCCTTGTTTTATATACTTGTCTGCATAGGAAAGCCGCATGTGTATCTTGTTAAGTTTAGTAGTGAGCAGCATAGTGTGAGCTGTTCTCACTTGTTTAAAACTATACCTCACAAACAAATTATTTTGGGCCTTTCTAAAACAGAGTGTTCTGTAAAGGCAACATATATAGCATGTGCCAAATCTGGATTCTTTCCAGAAATAGTGCCTGATATATCACACGATGGAAAAACATTTGAACTCCTTATTTCATGCCCTGAAACAAAACAAGGAAAATATTGTCGTAGTAAAATAATCAGAAGCAGATGGGAAATTGTCTTCAGATTCTTTCATAACTTTTACCTCTGGGCTGAGAAGTCATGTCATCCTGTAAGGGAATTGTTCTGGAAAGTTATGAGCCACTAAGTGGGAAGACTTGACTTAAAGCCATAAACAATGTGCAGGAGGACCTCCCACATTAATAAATGGGAATTGCGTGCACAAAGACAGTGCAGTGCATGGCCACTGAAGTACAGAGATCATCTCATTCATGACTTGCTTGGACTACTACACAGGAGAATTTCAGTAGTGTCAGTGGAACTGGGATTTAGGAGTAGGGAAAAAAAGGTTCTTTCATAGAACCAAACAGAAAAACTTACTCAGAAACTAACTAAACAGCAGGCAAGCCTATAGGTAGTCTGTATCATAGCATTTCTCTACCATCTTCCTAGTACAAGAATAAAGATTTGAACTTTGTACAAATTTTCAATTTGTTCTTGAGAAGAGCTACAAAAGTCACAATGTCAAAGCCTAAAAACCAGAGATCACATCATTCTTTTGTTATAAGTAGGGGGCACAGAGAAAACCCAGTGCTGCTCCCTGTGGCTTTCGAATGTTCAGCCAGAACTCTATGAAATTCAGCTGCTGCTCTGATGTGGCAGGTACCAAATTGCCTCTGCAAAATGCAGTCCATCCCTGTAGACAGACAGCCTCTTCATGAAGTTTAAGCTACCTCCAGAGGCTTCTGTGCAATAAATAAAATAAAATAAATAAAATAAAATAAAATAAAATAAAATAAAAATAAAGAATGAGTCCAAACTCACGCCTATAACAAAAAGTTATGCACTCCATGCATTACCAATAAAACATGTTAAAAAGAGCACGTAGCTGCCCTCACCATCCTAGCATTTTGAAGAAACACCTTTGTGTTCTTCAGAGTGACATCTCAAAGGAACAAATGTGTCAAAACAGGTCTATGGTTTAGCCAGTCTATCCTATAACATCTTGAAATTGTTCTGGATGTTACCTGCCTGTTAAATTTCTTTGAGAAAAGAATCTGTACACTACTTAAGAGTGCATAGATTACCTGATGACTAGTCCTGGGTATTTCTTCTGTTGTCAGTAGGTTGGAAATATTTATTTTCTTTTAAAAACAATGCAAAACAAGAGGAAGATTGATAAGAACATCCCAGACATGGTATATTCAAACTCTTTCTGGCACATGAGACAATGAAAGGACAGAAAACTTAATGCAAAACCCTCAGATTTTACTGGCCTTGAAGTAAGGTGATAGGCAAAAAACAGTGATCAAGCATAGTCATACTGAAACTTAAAAATGCATTTATTCATTGCTTATAATATCTACCAAGCACAAAGAGAAAAAAGAGCAGCAGTTGTATGCTTTGTATTTTGATATCCTCAAGTATAGAGACCCAGGGAAGAAAGCAAATTTAGACTGTGAGATTCAGCGTATGTAGGCTTCCTGAAGATGAAGAAAAATTTTCAATATATCCCAATACTTCAGGGAATCTATCCATCAAGAGGATGGGAACAAGTAATGGAAGTGCCCAGCAACCTGGGCCAATTTTGAGTGTGCCAGAGCACAAACTGGACCTCTGCTATAAAGGGTAGTAGGTGGAGACTGCTGGCTGTGGTAATGGCACTTTGAACTATCACCATGTATCTATCAGGTGTGTGTAGCAGCACAGTGTGGGGCACTAGGTGTAAGCTGTTATCTAATGGTATCCTCAGATTCAAGTCCACTTGATTTAGCTGGTTAGTTAGTAATCGCTTGTTAATAGTTGGTTGGTCAGTAATTTACTCAAAAGAATCCTATGCATAAACATTTCTTACTCCTACAGGAATTACAATAAACCAAAGCACTATTTGGAGAAAACATGCTGTTAGGAGTTTGCAGCCCCTTAAGGTAGTGATGGTGTGCTTTTCTCATCCATCTCAAATAGATCTGCAATTTAGCTTGTTATTTCTTTATGATTGTTTGCAGTGGCTATAAATTTTGTGCTTTCTATTTGCTTTAGTGTATAACACCACAAAGCAGTTTTGTTCATGTCAGTCTGTGTTTACACATCTCATGGTTGCTCAGCACTGTAAAATCTCTACATGAAACAAGCAGCTAAAGCATTTATGACACTTTCCAGGTGGTTAAAGTCAGTCAGCTTTTGGTCTTCTGCACTAACATAACTGGTTGCATTCAGAAAGAGCCACCCCAAGTTAGTCTTCATATCACACTGATTGATGATCATGTTACATGATTCCAGTTTTATTTTTATGTTTTAAGTAAGGCGCTATTGTTTATTGCCAGGGTGGGAAGATTACCCCTTATTTTCTCCCTACTACAAGTAGATCTGTTTAGTTTCCAAACCATCTGCAAAAACTCGTTGCTGCATGATCATTTCATATCAGGGAGAATGGTGCACTTTTAAGATCATAGGAGCCGTCAATGGAAAAAGAGTGCACAGAAATTTTAAATAAGCAGTGTTGAAAAGCATAAGAAATTGGGTGAAGTTTTACAGTTAGTCCAACTCACTCCTTTCTCTTTCATAACACAGCAGCATTACCAACACAAATAAATAAGCTCAAAAATGCATATAATTATCACAGCTGAAAGAATGATTATGGGAAATCTCTCTCTTGCTCTATTAACTGACAATGTCAATAGTTCACTACTGCTATATGATGTAATAAGAAGTTTAAAAAGTGTGTATATATAATTCTCCACCAAGAACCTTCCCATAAACAAAATAGTTTTCTTATGAAACACTTATGCAATGAAATAGCCTTTGATTGGAAAGTTAAAAAACGATATAGTTAAAACATTTTTAAACTGGCATCCTCAAATTTGCCAATTCTAGTTAATAAGCTGTTGTTGCCCTCTAGTGCTCAAACACAGCTTGAAAAATCCACAACGGAATGATCCAGGCAGATCACCTAGCAATTCCCTGTTTGGTCTTAATCCAAGACAAATGAGTGGCAAACACAAAATAAAATGAAGTGTTTTGGTACACCTACCTAGAACATACTTTTCTCAAGCTTTTTTTTATTTTTTATTTTTCTTGTTTGTTTTTCTGTAAGAATACTTAAGATCGTTTGTTTTGCTCTGCTTTCTCACTGCATTAGTCACGCTACACATGCAGCTCACTGCTTTGCTTCTGCCATTCAAAGTGCTTGATATACGTTGGCTGCTTGGGTTGGAGGGCAATGTTTCTGATGATATTAGCCAAATTCAGGTCTAGTGCTCTGAATGACCCCAAGATATGTCTGCCTGCCTTCTCTTGAATCTATCTCTGCTGTACTGTACTGCATCAATTACTGCCAAACATCTCCCCCTCCAACAAATTAGTTATTACAGCCGAAATGCACAGTGAAGATTCAGGGGTCGTTCTCAATACCTCTCCTGTAATAAGTTGTTGTGATGTCATAGGCAATGTAGAAGGCTTCTCACTACGTTGTAATTCTTTTTAGAGAAAACTTAACCTCAGATCTGTGCCTACATTTTCCGTACCACAACTGAGCCTAGTACTTACCATTTTACTAACTTATTTCCCAGAAATGTTTTTCCTCATCATGTTCCTTGATCACAAACCTTTGAAAATACCTAACAAAAATAAATAAATAAATAAAGCAAAGAAACTGAAGTTAAACAAACCATAGTCAACAGACAAGCCGATGAACTTGAGATACTTTTGAAAATTTGTTCACTTTTAAGAGGTTATCCAGATTTTTTTTTTAACTTAGGTATTATCAAACGTAAGCAATGCAGAAGACTGATGTTTTTGTACCTACAAAGCAATGTGCAACCTCCATATAGTAAGAATTCAACTTCTTGACATAAGGAGCACTGACTTGTCTTTGATCTTTGAATAACAGAAATTTCAGAGGATTTTCTGCATAAAGTTATTGTTAGAGCTTTCAGAAAACTTGCCTTAAGGGCATTTTTGGATCTTGCCTGCTTCCCACTGCACTAAGCTTGACAGATCTAAGAACCTCTTGGACGTGAGTCACTTTTCATATTTTGTAGTAGATTTATTTCCTTGTATTCAGGAGGCACCCTTCCCTCTCTATCTTGATATTTGTAGTTATGCCGCCTGCCACACAGATACTTTGATATCTAGCATTTCATTCTAACAACAGATTTAGATGGGGAGGTGGGGGTGAGTGCAGTGAATAATATGAACTGGAGGTTGTGTAGCACACATCAGATGTGCACAGATACCCACTTGTCTCTTGTTCCAGAGGCAAGGAAATACAGATTAGCTGTGCTTATTAGCAGTCATATGAATATGACCCCAGAAGTAAAAAAAAGGTGTACTTTGAGAGCAGTGAGAGCTCTACAAGTTCAAGAGGGACAGAAAGTCCGGCTGTGTTGCAAACAGCTCTTTTGAGAGCCACTAGCCTGGTTAGGGAAGTAAAATGCTAGAAGCAGAAAAATAATGCAAGCTTGTTCATCTGTTTCTGTGACTATAGGAAACATCACTGAGGTTGTACAACATAGTTTTCCTTTAGAACTCTCTTAGTTACCTTCAATCTCTGTAGATGTTCAGAAACGGGAGACCACACCTTTTCTGTATCTTCTGCCAATAATCCAGCTGTTGTCTTTGCTCAGTTCCCCCACAAGTTTCCATCTGCTCTAAAATCAGACATTGAATCTCAGCTGTTATGGGCTTAGGTATATCAGAACAGATTCTTTCCTGTGCATACATTAAGCTTATCCCTTGCCTTTTTCCAATTTATTTTATATGATAAGATTTTTTGACACATGCTGCAAAAAACTCAGCGTGCTGGAGGGTGGTGAACTCTTTGGAAAAGGCAAACTCAAATTTGCAGCATGCAGTTTTAAGGATAGCTTGTGATGTATGCAGACAAAAGCAGTCAGGATACGCATCAATAAACTAAATGCAGCTAAGGAAAGTTAAATATACTACAATTTTTACTCTGTACTTAAAACCATTTGGATGCAAAACTCTGCTACCAAGTACTCCTTTAAGGCCCAGATACAATAAATGGGATGTCAGATACACAATTGTCTGGTGTTGTGCAACTGTAACACATTAATAAAATAAACTGGGGGCAAATAGATTTGAAAATGCTCATGCACTGGACAGATACTCGTTTTATTAGGTTTACTAGGTTTACTTATGTTATTCTAGTCACAGAACGTACTCATGAATTTTTTTTTTCTCCTTAAACGTAAGAACCTTTTTGCTTAATTTGGACTTGAGTGTTTATTTTTAGAATTTAGTAATAAATCAAATTATAGACATTATATTTCAGCATAAATATGGCAGTTCTCTCCCCACCAAACCCATCTGCTGCTTTCCCATTAGTGACCAAAAAAAGAATACATCCTCTAAGATTTAAATATTTCCTATTCAGTCTCAAAGTAGTTCTCTCAAAGATGAGAAATGCTCCTAAAAATCTATTCCCCTTCCCCCATCATACATCAGCATACATTCCATTGATCAAGTAATCCAGCCTGGTATAATGTCTCTTCTGAAGAGATTCATGCATTTTCTTCCCCATGAATGTAATAACTAGTAGCAAGAATATCACCCCAAAAAGCAAAGCTGCTACAAGTTTGTTTTTGTCTTCTAGCTGAAGGACACCTTTCCTTCTTAGTGCACTCTCTGACAGGTAACTTTCTGAATCAGATGGGTCATAATCCTGATGGTTGTTTTGGGAAGCTAAGGGAGAACCACTAGTAGATGGGACAAAGTCTGAAAAAGAGAGGAGGGTAACGTGGCTGGTATCATTGGAAGAGACAAGCGTTGGCTCAGGAGGGATGGCTGAAGTTCTGCGCCTTGATGTGGCAGTAGCTAGGCTGGAATTTGAGGTCACCCGCTTGGTTGTGGAAGTAGAAGCAGAAATTGTGGGATTGGAAAAAGGAACATGAGTAACAGCAGTGCTGGCGGCAGAAACACCATGTTCAACTCTAGCAGTTGCAGTATGCATGAAGGTAGCCCTTATGGTAACAGCACTAGATTTAGCACCATCGGGAGGTGGAGAAGTTGTATGAGATTCTACTCTGGTAACACCTGTAGGCAGAGGAGACATGGTAGTACTGCTGGGTCCAGGAACACCAGACTGAGTGCTGGGGAACAAAGCAGAGGGGTTTCCAGTTTGAACATTAGAAGACATATTTGGTGGCAGATTAATTTCTTTCTGCTTTGGGATGGGGTCTAAGCTCTCAAGATTGTTGGCCGTTTGTGATTCAGGAAAAACTGTATGAAATTCAATATTGTCTAAATGTTTATCCACGTGGTTTGGGAGTTCAGATGCTTGATGAAAGACAGATTGCTGCAAAGCAGTGGTATGATTCTGATGGCTAGTCAGACTGTGAGAAATATAGGCTCCAGCATCCAATGGCAAAGAGTATTCATTCAAATGAAAGTCCTCATTTTTGAGGGAAGTGTCCTCCTGGGCATACGTGTCTGGAAACAGAAATGAAATATCAGTATTTAATGACAGAATCTATTTGTGATTACCACAGGCTTATTCTAGTTACTTATATTTCATAGTAAGAGACATACCAGGGAGCTCCAGAAAGTAATGACTAATCAAACTGAAGCACCAAAATCTTTTCTTTAAAACATGCAGTAACTTTTAAATTCTGTCATAAGACCTGCAGAGCACCAATTCAGGCTTATTCACTTTGCCAAATACATTTCTGATCAAAGTACACGGCCAACGGGGAACATAAGATTGAATGCTTCTCACATAGCAAACTTGTTAAATGAACACTGCCACAAAAAAAAAAAAATAAATAAAGATTCTAATATCTTGCCGAGAGATTACAAACAAATTAACGGTTGGACTTTATGACCTTTGAGGTCTTTTCTAACCTAAATGATTCTATGATTCTGTGGAACGTTGCACAAATTCTCTAAATGTATGGTAATGACAGTGAATTCTATTTTTCCAGAATCAAAGTAAAATATACTTTTCTGTATAAATCCAGCTATATTTCAAGAGTTTACTAGTCCAATTTGCCCTGTTAGAGAGTTATAGAAGTCCCAACCGTACTACTCCGTGCTAAGGAACAAGCAGTTAAATTGTTGATATCAGATCTCCAAATGTCCACTCCTCCACTTCCTCTCCCCAGCCTCCACCCCCAAACTGTACACCTACTGATCTGTAGGAAAGACTTGGGTTCCTGTTGCCATGCTAGAAGAAAGACACTGCTCTAAGAGTCTGAGGTATCTGAAGTAGACTGCACGTTACTATTTCTCCAGCAGTCAATGTATCTTGCTTCCAACCCAGGTGGAGGAACATCAGTTAATGGAATTTGGAAGCAGGACAACAGCTTTCTGTAACAGAAATTCAATACAATTGATAATCTTAGCTGTTATCTGGTTCTACACAGATACGAAAGAGAGACTTTGGGCAAGCATGAATTCTTAGAAGGACTGGCTAACTGGCACAGGTCATGTCTTCATTGTCATCATTCAGCAGCCTCCGAGAATGTTTAAGAGGGAATGTGCTCTCCCTATAGTTCAGACTCACACTCTTGTCTTTGTTTCTGTAAAAGACATTTATTAACTGCACTGGAATTGAAATAAATAATAACAATAATAAAAAAGTCCATGATATTCTCATTGTCACTTGCTTCTCAAATAGGAACTCGTATCTAGATGGATGGATTTATTTCAATTTTATTATACATACACAGAAGCCTAATCAGCTAATCCTAACCTTCTAGTTGGGCGCCAGTTTGTTAGCAAAGTAAAATTCTAAACAGAGATAATAGACTCCAACCACAAGGTCTGACTTACAGGAAGAAAACAAACAACAACAAAAATATTTTTTCTTAGAAAGTGGCTTTAAATAACAAAATATTCAGGCATTACAAAACAAGAAACTGAAATGACTCTCAGCTGTGTCTGCAGTTCTGAACACATTTTCCCACCAGTGAGGAAATGGCCTGTCACAACCACTGAGCAAGCCAACAACTCCTTTTTCCCCCGTTCCCAATGCACTCCCATGGCTTCATCCATAAGCTTAAATAAATTGGTGTAGTGTGACAACTACAAAGTACTTGCAGCATGCTGTGTGATCTTCAGTTCGCTCACCTGGACAACAGCTAGGAAAGCACAGAGCATTCACGCAGCATTCAAAAGACCAAGTGTGAGGGCAGCATGGGGAAGCTAAGCTCAGAGTCCTGTACAGGAGTTAAGTATCATTGCTATTCTACAGCACTCAGATTAATTAATCTAACTGCTTGTGTTAACTAATTCCACTCCACAGATTCAGAATCAAACACTTTCTCTGTCTCCGTTTTAGACTACAAGCTCCCAAACGCAATTGCCAACAAATGTTGTGTTAGGTACAGCTGTGGTGCTAGCACAGATACACGTGTTGGTAAGAAAGAACAAGGGCACTATACAAGTCAACCTTTAAAAAGAGATTGAAAAAAAAAAAAAAACACAGTGGTCCTGATGACATCTCAAAGCTAGTAAACTGTATTAGAAAACAAACCTTAGGTGTCAATCTTAAAAACAAAATAAACACCTCCTGAGCAGACTTCTGATAGAATCTACGGGTGTTGCTTGGCTATCTCAGCAGAGTGGAAAAAGACAGCTCCGCAAAAGTACATGAACAGCAGAAACCAGATTTTCCCCCCCACCTCCAGCACTAGCTCTTTGCAACTGGAATCAGGAAATGTTTTACTTCCCAAGTTACAGGCTGTTTCCATGAGTTAACAAGTTGCAGGAATATTTTAAAAGAAGAAAAAGGAAAACTTTACTATTAACACTACTTCGGTATTTGAAGTTATTTATTAGCAACAAAGTATTTCACCCCTTTTAGTTCCTGTTTTGGTGTAACCACCTGGAGATTCTCATTTTAAAAACCAAATCTTTAAATGTTTGTCATTAAGAACACCACTCAGGTGCTACATCTGAAAGCTTACTAGGGACCTAAGGTAAATAAGCTAACAGCATCTTTTTGGTCAACATTAAATGAGCATTACACCTATATGCAGGACAAAAGCACAAGCACAATTACATGCCTTGTTTCTTTGCATTCCATGTGTTCTTCTAGGGTAGAAAGAGCCAGAGCAATAAATGTGGTTGTAGTGATAATTTTACATGCAATCCATTTGTTGCACACCATTTTTGCCCAGTTCCTGTGTGACTGTGCCCACACAAAAGTATTTGGTAATATTATGTGAATAATCTTGCTACATATCCTGCTGTTGCTCCCTTTATAGTTTCTTGTGGAAAAAGTTCTCTTTTTCAGTAAAAGTTCAGACTCTTGCAATAATAAGTTTCTGCTCTCTCAAGAAGCCACACTGAAACCACCTTGTGAACTCTTGGCAGGAGGATAGTCTAATTATCAGCTTCTTATCTGAGCTGCTTCTTATCTGAGCTATTCAGACTGGTCTGGTGCAAGTCAATGCCAGTCTACAAGTAAGACTTGCTATTAAAAATCTCATAGCACGTGACAGATAATGAGAAATTTGTGAGCGTACAGCCCACATGCCATAAAGCTTTGATTTTGATCAGTTTGCATCTGTGCTTCAGGTTCCCTAACTGAAAACAGAAAATAATGATTACTATCGCCAATTACTCACTAACATCACAGTGGTGCTCTGAGGCTTGCCTAATATTTGCTTGCTGTTTCTACTTGCATCTATATGGTACTCATCAGTGTTGCCTGAATCCTTTGAATACACAGACAGCTACAAGGGCATCATATTTCTATTGCTTTCAGCAATACTCCTCAGCATTATGTACAGGAAATTGTCCTTGACTAGAATACATCAAGATGGAAGAAGCCTTTTTGTTTTAAGCGAAGGAAAACTATTAAGAATTATGAACCTAATGTGAAGGAATTTCATAATGGTTGGGTTGTTATTCCAGCCAGGAAGTTGGGCTCACACAGGTGCGCACCAAACACTTGCCTATCCATCTCCTACAGAGCAAAGAATGACGTTGTAAAATTAGAATGCTTTGCTTAGAAAATTTTACTGAAAATACAACCCCCAAACATTACCCAGTCACTACTGAAAAGACACTGAGGCAAAGGCAATCTAGTGTGGGGAGCAGTGTCTTTTCCTATTATTTACCTCGAGCTATTTTGTAGCTAACAAATCCTGTTGCAGGTTTCATTGGACAGGCCTCTGTGCTTGGGCAGTAAAACAGGTAGCAGTTTGGATGTGTCTTTGTCCCTCGAGCATCAAAGATCATGAAGTTACACTTCTTGTCTCCTGCAAAACAATATATATGTATTTCAGCAGCAAGAACCTTTATAGCATCTTAATAATAAGTTCTAGTTAGTTAAATTAAGTTTTCCTCATGTGTTGAGAAGGAAAACTACTAAAATGTAACATCACTAAAGGAAAACTATAACATATAATATTCCTATAAGAAAAACAACTCAAGACTGGAAAAGAATGGCCAAAGGCCAACATGTGAAACGTCACACCTTCCTCTTCCTGTGCAGAGGAACATGAGGAAACAATGAGTCTAATCTCTCATTCTCCCTTCACACATACCACGTTGGCACCACTTTACGTAACAAGTTTTTGCTTACAAATCGTGATAAATCTGAAAACCTCCCTCCCCAGTATACTCGTGGATATACACAGCTCCCATCCTATTGGGGGCACTTTCAACTGGCTTCTTTTCTACTTGCTGCTGTGCCTCATACCACTCTAAAAGCCTGATGGAAAAACAAACAAACAAACAACAGTTTCAGAGGAGCATAAGCACTCTCATTTTTGGCTATAATGAACGTAGTACAAACTGATGGTTACTTCGCAGGGTGTCTGCTGAATCGTGATGATGCTTGGCTTTGGGGAGCCTGTGTGGTTGCAGCACGTAAAACGACCTCCGTTCCTGGACTGCAGTTATTTTTCCTGAGCACTCTGGTATCAGCAATCTACTATCACGTGAAGCCAGGCAGGACAGCAAAGTAATTCCCTAGCTGCTCACAAGCAGTAACAGAGAAAGGCAGAGGGGGTCCCTTACCTGGCAGCCCTTTTCCCAGGCAGCAAGCCCGCATACACGCCTCCGGAGCCGACGCGTACACCGGCTCCGCTCCCCTGATGCCTGCGGGGAGGGCGAAGCTGATGTCGACGATGGCGTTCTCCTCTTTTTCCGCCGAGCAGCCCTGGCCGAGGGCCGGCCGGGACGCCAGGCAGGCGAGGAGCAGGAGCCGGAGGCCGATGCCCGCCGACATGGCCGCCCCACGGGGCCCCAGGGCCGGGAGGAGGGACGAGGGCCGGCCGGGGGCCGCCGCCTTTCCCCCCGCCCCATCTTGCCTAGCTCACGCTTTTCCTTTGGGCGTTTTCAGCTCCTCCTTTTATTTGTAGGTAGGTAGTTAGCTTTGGGTAGCGTGTAGTTAAGTGGCCCGGAGAGTAAGGAACGCGGCAAAGAGGCAGTACGATATAGTCCTTCTTTCTCAGCTATCTCATCCTGCATCATACTTAGAATAACATAGTTATTTCTGCAACTAAAATAAATGTCCTTCGTAGGGGTGGTCCATTACATAAAGAGATATCGAAGGGCAGATTACTTTACACTGCAATGGTTAGAGTAAAATAACGAAAACAAGGAGTCCTATAGGACTAAACACCTGGATGCAGATAGGAACAACTGCAGGTATACGTATACATATAGTTGTGGGTATTCACACTCACATTCACTAAATATATAATAGTTCCCAAATTAGTCATTGTAAGCCACTCTCGGATAGTGTAAGAGTGCGACTCGGACCCAGTCACGTTTCCTAACGCTCCATGGCAGCAACGAGGCTCAGGGGACTGTGCCCTCCCGATTGGTACTGCAGGCTGAAGCAGCACGCTGCAGGTGTCATCATCACACAACCCTCATATATATATATGCTAATGTAGATGTATGCAGCTGTATACTCTGAGTAGTTTCAGGTACATTGACTTTGTTGCTACTACAGAGGGATTGTGTTATGTCCACATTAGAGACAAAATAAAGAATTCACTACCGCAACTGCCACATTAAAAATACACTTTTATTGTCATAGTGTTTTCAATTATAAGACTTCATGTGGCAGACATGTACAATGGTTGATAGGTAAATTAAACATTTCCAGGGGTGTTGGTACACTGCACATTCATATTTTTATAATAATAAATGAAAACACTTTCACAGAGTAGCTGGAAAGTGTACTTCACAAACTATTTTGAACTCTGCTAAGTAGAAGTGGTAAATGAAGCTAACTAAAGTTAAATGTGCTGATCCAGTGGAGCTAATTTTAAAATTTGTTTGAGACTGATGGCTAACATATGATGTCTTTATGGCAAGCACTGGTTAGATTGCAGACCTACAGACAATTTATGTCTGAACACTCCACGTTCTTCTTTAAGTGCCACTGAGGCTGCTCACAGGTGATTTTAATAATGTATGAATACTCCAGATTCAGAGCTCAACTTTCTCTACTTAACTTTCCAACAATAGTTTGTTCTTCCTTGCAGAATAGTTACATTTCTTTGAACCTATTTGTTTGTTATTCTGGCAGGAACTAAGCAGTTGTTGAGGTAGTCAAAAGGTCGGCCTGTTATTGGTTTACAAACCCATGTGGCACAGCCTGCAGCTGCAAGAACTGGTGCAGGACTGAGGTTTTCACCTACAGCCTCCATCTTAGTAACAGCTGTGAGGTGCAGTTCCTGCAAGATAGGAGGATTGTTTTTGTGTTAAATTAAATCTTGGTGGGAATAAGTAAAAGCAGCCAGAAGAGAGAATGCTGAACTGAGTTCAGGACAGAGCTTTCACAGATGCTGGCTGTCATACATGAGCGGAGAATGGGCTTGTTCAGGAGTTAGCACATCCCGGCACTTTTTATGTTTATTGGCAAATCTGTCAGATACAATCACGTGGCCGATTTGATTGTCAGATATGAATGCAGTGAGTCTGAAGTACATTTTCTTATCCTTTCTACTTTTCTGCTTAACCTGAATCACCCATGACCTTTCAGTCTGGGCTGTTTTTATCTCATTCCTGCTCATGATAAACACGGTTAGTGCCGGCTGCTTCCTGTGTGTTACTGTCTGGCGAGTTACCATGGACAAACACGCTTTATTTTCAAAAGGCGGTGCTGTTTCCCGCAAAAACACACACACACAGCCATAGGAGAGCAGTGCGACCCCGCGGAGCGTGCATTTTTACCGGCCCCACTGGGGTACAGACCCTAACGCTGGGGGGTTTGGCGGGTTTACTTCCCACTACACGACCAGGGAAATGAATCCCCTCAATTAAAGGAGACCCCGGGGGGGCGTCGGGCAACCCGTCTCCCGGCCCTGCCGGTGCCTTTAAGCGGAGCTCCGCCTGGCTGGGGCTCCGGGCGGGGCCTGCCCTGACTCGGGCGCAGGCGGCAGGAAGCCCGGGCGGTAGCGACGGCCCCCGCGCTGCAGGGCGGCGGGGTGGAGGAGGCCGAGCGCGGCTCGGGTCGCCTCGGCTCGCCTTGGTTTGCCACGGCTCGGCTGGGCTCGTCGTCAGCGCGGTTGTGCGCCATGGGAGCGGAGCAGAGCGCGGAGGCCGAGGGCCGCCCGGGCGAGCCCGGCGCATCAGGTCGGTGGCCAAGGGGAGCCGGGGGCGCTGCCACCGTGACCCCGGGGGCGAGAGGCGAAGCGGCTGCTGGGGGCGGCAGCCCCGGGTGCCCTCCTCGCTCGCTGCGGTGCCTGGCGGCCCCGTGGGGATGCCGGCCTCCGGGGGAAGGCAGAGGGGTGTCGGCGGTGTGGGGGGAGGCCCGGGGGTGAAAGCAGGACGCGTGTGGCGTGGAAACGGGGCTCCCAAATGTCTCCGAGGTGAAGCTGTTGGACTGAAGTGTTCCCCAAAATATAAGGACGTGAAAGAGCCTTACTGCGGTGGAGTGCTGACAGATGAAAAGTTTCTGGTAGCTTTTGCCTTCAGCTTTCATTGATGAAATGAAATCACCTTGGGTTGTCGCTGGAGCAAGAAGTCAACATGTCCTTAACCAGCACCGTTACCTTGTTCTGAAAAACCTTGTTGAACGTGACATGTTACTGGGGAGAGGGGGAGGAGGGAGGGTTGTCAGTTATCTCAGGGATGTGTTTATTCTGTATAAAGCATGCTTGCTCTCTGTTGAACATGTTAGTGTGCTTTTAGGGTTAAATTCTGATGAAATCTGCGTATTAATTTGTTTGTGCATTCCTTCCCCCATCCTCCAATCCTTCTAGCATCTCCATCCCCAGCCAAGCAACGAGCAAAAATGGATGACATTGTGGTGGTGGCCCCAGGAACACAATCCTCCCGGAACGTGAGCAACGATCCAGATGTCATAAAACTGCAGGAAATTCCAACTTTCCAGCCCCTTTTAAAAGGTAAGTGATTTTCCTCCATTTTTGAAGGCCCTTTTTTTTGTGCCAAATAGAGTAAGTGCTCTGCAGCATACTGAGCTTCCTACTGAAATTCACATTTCTGTGTTTTTTGCACCCCTGCCCTTTTTCTCAAACCTTGCCTTCTTTTGGTGTTTCATAATCTTCTATATGGAGTGCGAACTGGTTTAGAAGTGTGCTAATAATGTTCTCTGATGTAGAGCCATCTACTGTGGAGGCAAAACAGCTCTAAGCTTCACAGTTTTCCCAGTGCTACTGGTTTGCAAGGCTGTTGATGAGAGATGCTATGTTGCATTCTGATGTACTGTGGACTACAGTCTCCAGTTTTGCTCTTGCTCTGAAAAACATCTCCATGTTACTATCTTGGAGTAAAGCTACGTGTGTACAGATTTAGTTGCTTGAAGTCAAGATTTATTCTTGGGGTTTCCAGTCTAGATCAGATCTCGTTCTTGCTTTGGAAGAGGGGAATAAAAGGTGAGGCTCATGTGGGGAGTGTCCTTAAGCTCTATGTTGATGACATCAGTGGACCCTTTAAATTCCCCTTGGTCTGTCTCCTTTCCTCACAGCTTTTTTTTTTTTTCTTCCCCTGTACCAATTCTTTGTCCCCCCTGTTTGATTCAAAGGGAAGTGAAGATCTAAATCACAGCTGTCAAGCCTACAGTTTACTAGAAACCATTCATGTGCTTTGTGGCCTAGCTCTGTGTAACTCTTCTCTGTCTAACCCTTTTCCTGGAGGCTGTGCATAGCATCTTCCTTGTTACCTGAAATTTCCTTGGGAAGGAAGATGTCTGGAGCAGCCTGCATGAATTGAGCCTGCTCCTGGCCTCCTCCTCCTGGAACAGTGTGGGTCATCAAACTTGTGTCTGCTGCATTGTGTATTCACACTCAGTGAACCAATATTTATTTATTTATTTATTTATTAAGTTTGAGTCTTACTGTGAATTATGTATGTTGGCTGTATTGCTTGCTCATTCATGCCTTGTAGGCCTGCTGTTATAGTGAGGAGCTGCTGGCAGCCTTTCCTGCTGCTGGAAGGAGTGAAGTGTTCTTGTACAAACAAGAGTTTAGGCACCACTGGTCCGAGTGCTACTAATTCACACATGGCAGCTGGGAAGGTGTGGCAGCTGCTTTGTCCTTCAGGCTTTGCTAGAGATGATGTAACATCGCTTTTTAGACAAACTCTTTACTATTATTTATTTTCATTATTTCAACTTGAAACAGGACTAGTACTTGTGGGTACTACGGTAGCCCAGCGGGCCAAGTATTTGGTGTTGGGTACTGCTGGATGGGGATCTAGATCTGTGTGGCACTAGCAGTACCATTTCCATTGGAGGAGGTTAAAAGACGGGGAGACCACTGAATAGGAGAAAAGCAACCCTGAATATTTCTAGGACTGGTACTGCTCTTCCTGTTGACCAAGGAAAATGTGTGTTCTCTATATATGTATTTTTTGATTCTGCAGATGGTGATGTCTTAGGAATGTGTGTCTGATTTACTCCTGACACTTTCACTACTGTTTTAGAATTGACTGTAAGGTGGGTTTTTTTTGAGGCTTGCAATGTGGGTGTCAGCAGCAGATAGTTTCATTACTTTTGGTGAGAACACACTTTGCATGCATCCCACGTCATACAAAAGGCAGAACTGAAGTCTCATCACTGGCAGTTTGAAATGTGAATGCTGTAACCCAGATTCACAAAGGTAATAAATAAGCTTTAATCTGAGACTCCAAACTTACAAGATGTGTTAGGATCTGGCACTGAGATTCTTGTGTGTTTGTGAGTATTTGATGACAGTGTCAGTTCTACCCAGCCTTGAGCTGTGGTGGGCTGAACCTGGCTTGTATGAGAGCTATGGAATTCCTTGGAAGCAGGGCTGCGATGTGACCACTTCCAGGGGCAGCATTCCTGGGTGGGTGGTTGAGGAGCCAGAGGGCACTGCCTCAGATCACCAGTCCAGGCCCTTTAACTCCTAAATATGCATACGTTACGTTACTTGATGGGCAGCTGTCTAGGTTACTGAGATGCTTTTGCTGATCTTACTGTGGACCTGAAGGGGTGTGTGTGTATGACAGGAAACTTTTCTATTTCAGAAAATAGAAAAGCAGTTAATAGAAAAAAAAAAAGCAGTTAATAGAAAAGCAGAAAAGACATTAGCAGGCTTGGTCTGCTGATGTCTTTCCCCGTGTCTCTTGAGATATGGTGACATCTGGTGACTGCTGACGAGTATTGCATGTTAGATTGAGTTGGCCCATGTGAACAGTTCTTCAGCCTCAAATACACTATTCCTTGAATAACAGGACTGAGATGCTTGTGTTCGGTACAGAAAGCGGTGTAGCCTGAGCCAAGTCTTGAGAGGCCACAGTCCTGCTTGAGAACCTGTTCTGTTCGGAATTGGTCTCATCTCTGTTTTTCACATACAACATTATGGTCTTGGAATGGATAAAGATGGGAGTAAGAGATCTTCTAGGAGTAAATCCTGAAACTTGTGTCTTATGAGCGTCTAGCTTGGAGAGCTCAAAACGTGAACTCATAGCCATTGTATGCTTCACTATTCTTTTTGTTTTTTCCTTGGCTAGGCAAAGCCAAAGGGCTTTATTTTAAAGTCTCAAAAGAAGCCTAATCGTTAAATTAATGGGTAGGGGAAGCACATGATCACAAAGAGAATGAATGTTCTCAAAAGACAAAGCACTGAAAAGCTGAAGTACATGTCTCTCCTAGCTGTCTTGAGTTGATTTTGCTGTGACCAGTGACACTGGAGGTCTCTGCAATTGTACGCCCTCACTTGTAAGAAACTGTCAGTGTCATGTCCATTACGTCTTTCATACGAGGTTTTCCTTGGCTTCATTGGAAAAATCTGAACCTTAGAGTTACAGCTATGGTGGATGCCTGTTATTTTGCCATTGTATTGACAAAAGTCAAATCCCAATCCTACCCGAAGTGAGAGGAAAAGGTACTCTTAGGGAGTTACGCCTAGGAATTGCGTGCCTGACTGTTTTTCTACAGTAACTGTTACATATCTGGGTACAGAGTAGTTGGCTATGCAAAAAGTCTTCTGGTAGAAATACTAGCAAAGAACTTCACTGTTTGACAATTGATTTATTTTTATTTATTTATTTTAAGTGAGGAGCAAGTATAAAATCTCCCGAGTGAAAAAGAGGAAGCCTCCAACCAGAATTCTCCTTTGTGTCAAGCATTCCTTTCAGTGACTACTTCATAAGCGGTACAGAACAAAATGTGATCTGCTGTTTCTTTCCTTTATGCTGCTTCCTGGGGATATTTGCATAAAAAATTAACTTCTCTCTGTTCAGCGTCCCTGATTCTCAGTCTGTTTATAGCATAGAGCCATAACCAGCTGTGTATAAAATAAGTCATCTTCTTTGAGTTGCAGGGGAAAGTGGATCTCTTGCATGTGGAATAATACTGTGTTTTTTAACTATGCAAATTTTCTTGGTGAAATAAGACACTTGCCCTAAGGACTTAAGCACTGTTACAAAACTTCCCAAAAGCTTCTGAGAAGGGTGTTTAGGTTTTAACTTTGTGCCACAGAAAAAAAATGCTTACTGCATTCTTTCAAAGGGCACCAGTTTCTCTCTCTAGCTTCAGGAAAGATTGAGACCTTTCTGGTAGCAGTGCAGTGTTAGGTTAAATAAAATAGATGGGTGTATATAAAGGATGTATTGATGCATGTTAGCAATATAGAAGAAACTTTTCAAGAGATAGTCATCCAAATGCAGATGTAATCCCTATTTTGTACTGAGGTCAGCAAGTTTGTACTAGGTCAGCAAGACCTAGTGCAAACATAACATGCAGGGAGCTTGATAGTAGGAATAAAAACTTTGCTGCATCTCCACCGTGTTGTCCAGGATTTTGCGATTGGTTTGCTCTCCAACCTAATTTAATGGTTCTTCTTATCACCTTGGTTGCATTGTGAGCATTTGAGACTTGCTGATTGACAAAAGCTGCCAAAAAGGCAGTGACTTCCTGCTTCTGCTGGCCAAGGCAAGTCAGATGTTAATTTCAAAGTACATATGCATTTTGTCACTTCCAAATACTCTTAGACATCAGGCCAGTTAATGTTACTGTGATATGTATGTCTATTAAGAGATTTGCAGAATCTAGCTTTTTTGTCTTTTTGAAAAGGGAATGTTGTAGCAAGTTATTTCTGTGCTTTATTGAGAGAGGTTTTTGGTAAATCTGAAAGCCAAAGTCTTCCAGTAGCCCATGGATTCTACAGAAAAAGGGCACTTTAAAGTTGCATTTTGTTTGGTTTAGTGCAAAGCTACAAGGTCAAGTAGCAAACAGGTATGGGAAGGGAGGTTATTCTTGTTTTGGACACTAGTTCTTCACATTGTGCAAAAATGACTTCCATTGTCTTCTTTTATTTGAGATATACTGCACAGTAGTTCAATGAGCATCCAGGCTGACAAGGGGAATTTTCTCCTTGTTGCTTTTGCTTCTGGACATACAGGCATAGAGTTGGTGTGTAAGTGGCAGAGATGAAGACGAAGGAGGTGCCCAGACAGCAGCCTGTCTGTATCAAGACTGGTAACTTCCTTACCTCTTGATAGTATTGGTAATGACGTTGGAAAAAAAATATTTTAAATGTTGCCTATTTCCTCTGTATCTAGTAATGGTATCATACAGAGTCTTCTACAAAGTAGGTGGTGAAATGGTTATTACTAGTAAAGATGTGATTAATCTGCTCTTGGAATGTGCCTGGGTTGTCTACCCAAAACAACGATCCCTGAACTCATCTCTTTGCTGTAACTTTGGATCTAGCTGGAAACTAGCTCTGTATATGGGGCCTTCTATCTTAACTGGGTGTGTGGTTATGCTTCCTTTTCTTGTGTCAGTGTTTTGGGTTTCTCTGAGGTGACAGACTATTTCCTGATGATGATGATTGCATTCTATTAGGGAAATGTGTTCCAACATTTAGGAAGTTAAATTCATGGCCAGATAGTAACTTAGTTGACTTAAAATGAAAAC